ACAATGTGCTCCACAATAAACAAAAAATACGAATGATCATATACCATATAACTCAGATGATAAGGATCATGGATAACAAAATCAGTAATCACATTCGACAAGCCACATAGCTCACCAGCTATCAAACATAGTCTCATACTTGGTTTCTCTTGGTGACATGACAAGTAATACTTGGACATATAAATACATACTCATACTAACCAATCACATCCTGCAGAATTATAATCACAATTGCACCCCGCAGGGTCATAATCTCATTTTACCAATTATGCCCCAAGTACACTTTGTACATGTACCAATTAATCCCAAAGTATTTAGTCCAAAATACAGGTTATCCCTTGTTAAATTTCAAACAAGTGCAAATTTGAATTCCAAAAGGGCAAAAATTAAAATTCGGGTTAAGAAATTAAGGACCCATTTAGGAAATGAATTTTTTTGTTTAAAAGATAAGGTTGGATCTAAACTACACTCAATGTCGAGTTAGCAGCGTGTATTTGTGTTCAAACTCAAGCCCATCTATGCCTTCTCCTATCCACAAAAGTGGGTACTTTTTGGGACCCAAACCATAGAACAAACTTGGGATACATATGCTCACCAAAGTTTTATTGGCCAACTAAAGTGGGATTGGTGTCAAATTTTATATTACTCCCACATTTATTTTTACATTCTAAGAGTGCCACTTTAAAGCCTATTTTTTCATTCATCTATTATTCGATTTGAGCAAGTAAATATACTACGTTATTCTTCTTACAGATCTGAACTCGAATCCATAAAAAATTACTCTAAATAATGAGTGGATCCCACTTTAATTAAAGCTCAAAATTGACAAAAATATGTTTCTATCCAACATTTTTGCCCCTTCAGTGCTATTTCATTGTTCATTTGAAATTTCTAAAAATGATCATTGATTATATAATATCATAATTAACGACTTAAATAACATGTTAGTGATTAATTTAAATACGGGTTGTCACATTATCAACCAATCGAGTGTATAATGTAAATAATTAATGAAGCAATTAATAATAAAAAGACAAAGATTGAGTGGTTAGGTTTGGGTGACCTAACCACTGAAAGCGGCGACGGTGGCCAACGAACTTTATTAATAAGAGAATAAAGCAATAGGTGAAAGAGAAAATGAACAAGCTCAAGGTGTGGTGAGAGATAGAGCAAGAGTACGCTCAAAGTGATGTGTCTGTGATCTCTATGTAAGAGATACCTCTGTCTATGTGTAGGGGGATTTACAATTTATAAGCACAGAGTCTCAACTGAGACGATGACGTGAAGGTCAAGCTATTAATTTATCGGAGATAATAGCTACAATTGGAGATGGACACTATCTTAGAGTATTGACTATTCAGATGATTGCTGTCCCACGTGCTTTGACTCTTACTGGACTTTTGAGCTTTGAATTGGATTGAGACCATAAGTTAAGTCTGATCTGCCTTTTGATAATTTGAGCTCAACTCATGAATTGGGCCCAGACCTGATTTAAATCTGAACTCGTAAGTTTCATCCAAATATGTTGGGACATGAGTTTAACATGTATCTAACATTTTATCAAGGTAACAATTTCGCAGTACGCATTTGATTAATTAGTTCATTCTAAAGCATTAGTTCCATCTCTTACAATTTTTCTTTGCATCAATTAACATTTTTTGGCAAGTTCATCATCAACCAATTTGACGGAGCATGCATATGGAATTTTTGCATCCCACTATTTCCACCAGAACTCATGGAATGCATCACGAGATTGAAACTTAAAGCCAAGGATCACAAACTGATAATTTTGGAAGTTGATTCACATAGAATGAAAATGCTTATCTTTCTTAAGTGTTGTTCTATAGATTTGCATATTGTTTAGGATAGTTGTAAAAGATTCTAATTGGTCGATTGAATGCTTAATTGAATGGATTTCATATGGTTGTATTTTATGGGGAAAATGTGTTTTGAAGTGATGCATTTCGTATGTTGCTTTGTTTACGGTAATGCTTATCTTCTTATGCACAATCATATACCTAGAATACCGTTAAATTTGACATTGGGTTGCCCAAGTAATCAAATAATTTTGCCAAAATTAAAAATTAAAGAGACCCCGTTGAAAATAAAATTATTTTAACATTTATCCGAAACAAATATTTTTTTTAATATTTATAAAAAAAATTTAATTTTAATATCCCACTCGATAGGTCTGAGTCGAGATTTTCCCCAAACCCATGCCCCATGAAAACTTATTTCCACAACCCAGTCACTTTTAAATATAATTCTCAAACTCAGTTATTTTTTAAAAACGTTATTTGCAATGATGCCTCCATATGATAAAACGTCATTCTCAATGACGATTTCAACTTTGAATTTTTTTACTCAAAATGTCATTAGAAATGACGTTTTTAAACCCGTCATTTTTAATGACGTTTTATAAAATAAAATTTCAAATGGCTGCTAAAGAGCGTTAAATAAAATTAGAGGAAAAAAACGTCATTTGCAATGACTTTTTCAAATACCTTATATCATATTTTTTAAAACAACAATCCCTCTCTGTCGCATCTCTCTCTCTTAGATCACTCTCTCGATCAGATCCCCACAAGCTCGATCAGATCAGATCCCCACAAGCTCAATCAGATCAGATTCCCACAAGCTCGATCAGATCCCCTCTGTCGATTAGATCCCCTCTCTCACTCAGATCTCTCTCTCAGATCCCTTATGCTCGTCGTCTGCCATCCAGTCGCAGCCCCCCATCTTCTCCGATGAGTAAACCAAGTTTGACGAAGAGGAACACTACGGCGGTCCTCTCTCCATTTCTCCGGTGGTGCTCCGGTTTTGCTCTCTCCATTTCTTTTGGTATTTTTCACCTTGTATGTGTTAAAATATACTACATGTATACTTAATGTATGGTATAACAATGGAGTTTGGGATATAATGTATGGTATAGTACCGGTTGCATCCCTTTTGGTTTCCAACAGAACCCATTTGAATTTTCCAAGAGAACCCATTCAAACTACTGTTGGAAGATAAAAGAGTGTATCATTTTTTTTCTCTGGTGGGTATATTATTATTAGGCATTAGCCCTCAGATAAGGATTGCAAGAGTTTGGAAGGCTCATAATCGAGATGCATTTTTCCAGTTATAGGGTTTTGCTGCATTTTTTGTTCTTAAATGATTTGACCACTAGATTAATTGAAAATTTTGTGTACTATTTATGTAATTTTATGTTGATTATGTAGATGCGTTTGCTGAGATTCGTTTGTTTTAAGGGTTTGCTAGGTTTTGTCATCAAATGATATTGGTTTTATGGTTACATTGATTTATTTGGTTTTATTGTTGGGGTTAAGCCTCCACCAGCGTGCATAGGCTCCACCACCGACTGAGCAGTGAGCACATTCTCCATTTTTTGCCCAAAATCGATTTTTGCCCAAAGGATTTGCTCTGTGGCCTGATCTATTCTGGGTGATATGATATATTGCAACCTCATATGTTAGGGTTTTAGGTCTTGCCCAAAGCATTTCAAATGACATTTTTAAAAAAAGACTGAGTTTAGGAATTAAGTTTAAAAGTTACTAGGTTATGAAATTAAGTTCTGAGGGGGGCTGGGTTTGGGAAAAAGCTCGGTTTGAGTCAGGTGCATCGAGGTTATTTTCATAACTCTAACTCTTAATTTCAAATCAGCAATATTATCAGAAGTGGTCGAACCAATTTAACTGTGAATTGGAATTTCAAACCGGTTGGTTTTAGTTCTTAGACTGAGAACTATCTGAGAACTACTAAATCGGCTAGTTTTTTACAAAAACTGTAAATCGACCAAGTTCCGAAAGTCAGGCTATGTTTGGTAACTGTTTTTATCCTGGGTTTTGTGTTTTTGTTTTTAATTTTGGTCAAAAATAAAAACTAAAATATATTTGGTAACTGTTTTTGGTTTTGTTTTGTTATATTAGAGACAAAAACAAAAAAATGGGAATAAAAAATTTGTGTTTCAAGAAACACATAAAACACAAAACATGTGGGATTAGGTTTAATGAGGTCTCAATTTCGACTCTTGTTAGCCACAAAATATCACTCCATATGAGAGAGTATAAATATGGGTCTTAATCGTTTGGTCCTCACAAAACAAACGCCTCTCTTCAAATCGTCTTAGCGCCTCCCTTCAGATTGACGAAGAAGGCTTACACTTCCATTCACAGATTGACGAAGAACGAGCTTACATTTTCACTGTGAAGTAAGTGTAATGTATAGATATATGTATATATATACATAGGTTTGTATATATATGCATAGATCTGCATATGACAGCCATCAAGCGATTCAACCAGTTAACCAAATGATTGAACCGGTGAACCATTAACTCGATTCTTCTATGAATTCAATGTCTTGTCCGATTTTGATAACATTGCAAATCAGAATAGAATAATTTTATCGGTTAAGACCTAACTTTATCACTTTCTATTGAATCTCTATTGTCTCCAAACTTTTTACTGCCAAGTACACTAGTCACTCGAGTTGTCTGAACTTTAACACCATTTCACTAAAATTTTCAATATTTTAACTACGGTATAGAATGATGTTAGTGGTAGATCTAATCGTCTCCGTCTTCGATATTGAACCTTAAGGTTGGTGGTTTTTTTTAAAAAAAAAAAACCTACTACAGGACAGATTCTGCATCTATACCTTCCAGAATGAGGAAGGAAAAAACTGTTTTACAATGCACTCGAGGTGAAACAGAGTTTTGATTGCTTTCAGGTAACAATTATAATTATTCTTTGTAAACAATTTTCACTATCTGAATACATAAAACTAAAATACATTGCTGCTTCCACAGCCATTTCTGCTTGTGCACTTGAAAATTCTTAATGCAACCTGCAACCTATGGACATTCAGTACCGTCAAAATTCGGACAACTGGTATAAACTTGACAAGGGAAAAATGATGAGAGAAAGAGAAGAAAATCATATGCACAAAGATGGTAAAATTCAATTCCAAATATTAAATGGGCTTCCAAGAGATTTCTATATATTATGTGCCAACAAGAGAGCCATTGAAGGATCATCTTGGACCGGACAATTCAACGGGTCGGAGATTGGAAGTTGAATTGGCAATGATGCAATTAGTATTTGGGTGGTGGGTGTGTGGTTAACCTCTTGCCGGAACATCTCCTTCTTCTGCCACGCTTTCCACCTCTCTGCCAATCCATCACCTTCAAGCATCCTAACCACGTCCGACATCTTGGGGCGTTCCATTGGGGAAGTCTGTGTGCAGAGCAAAGCTACCTGCATTAGCTGCTCCACCTCTTCATCAACATAATAACCATGAAGATTGGCGTCAACCAATGTTTCCAACTTCTTTTCCTTCAGAAGTCCCTTTACCTAAAATTTTAACAACAATTAAAGTTTCCAGAGAACAATAGAGGTCCATATGAAGCAATGGATCTTCTGATTAATCGGTATCACTGATTTTTTTTATTATTTTCCAATTAGTGAGAGATAAGATTTGCAGGTACTGTAGATGTCTCAATGCAGCCTCTAGATTAGAATACCAATAACTGATTAATCTTCTGGTTAGAAAAGCCATCTCGCAATTATCATTGCAGTGAACAATGTCTTTGGATACAAAAGATTGTAACTTTTATTTGTGTGATAGGGCAGGGTGACATTCCACACGTAAACATCCAGAAAAAAGACTTATTTTGATTCATGAAAAAATAATTTTTTTTTGTTGAAAAGTTCCCCCATATTCATCTGTTTTCCATTAGCGATATTCAAACAAGTTCATTCGCACGAGAGCCAACTCAATATTGAAACATAAAAAGAGTCGAGTAATATGCTGAAGATAACAAACATATGGGAGGATGAGAAATGCTTACCCAATCAAACAACATGAAATCATCATCATTGGCAAGTCGAGCAAGGTCGAAAGCACTCCGCCCATTGATGAGTTCAAGAAGCATAACCCCATATCCAAAAACATCAGTCTTCTCTGAAGCCCTTCCGGTGGAGAGGTACTCAGGAGCTATATGCCCAATTGTGCGACGTACAGAAGTGGTGACATGAGTATCCTTGTAGTCCATGAGTTTGGCCAACCCAAAGTCTCCAACAACTGCTTCAAACTCCTCATCTAACAATATGTTTGCAGCTTTGACATCACGGTGAATTATCTTAGGGTCACAATGATCATGCAAATAAGAAAGGCCCCTTGCAGCTCCCAGTGCAATTCGCTTCCTTATTGGCCAATCAAGGGGTGGCTGTGATTCACCTCGCTCTGGAAAAATTGTCAATTAGCTCGTGAGAATGCCATTGTAGGTGTTAAGCACAGTTTGGGACAGGTCCTAAATTTTGGGTTTCAAAATTTTCAACATTTTTCCTAATTTTTGGCCAATCAGAGTATTAGACTTTCAGATACTGGACAGCCTGAATAATTAAAAAATTAATAAGATAAAACAGGTCAAGAGGCCAGCAACCTTTTACCTCTTAAACATGATGCAACACTTCCATTAACCATGAACGGATGAAAAAGCACCCGTTCTGTTGGTGTCATACAAAAACCACGTAAACGAAGTAGATTTCGATGCACAGCCATGCTGATCATTTCTACTTCTGTTTGGAACTGCAACTCCCCACCTTGAGTATGCTCCTCTTTTAGTCTTTTTATTGCCACCAGAGAACCATCAGCCTCTACCAATAATATTTTTGTTGCTAAAATTATCTGATGCAACTTGTAGTTCACGCAAAGAGAACCTCTTGAGCTGTCCTAGATGAACTTCCGGATCCTCTTCAGCTGTAAAGAGAAGTAAATGAGTGAGAATGCATTACATAGGACACAATTTAAGGCTACCTCCAAATAAAATCACTAACCAGGAACATTGAAGAAATGATTCTGAGGTTTCCTTCGGCGCCACAAAGCAAGAGCAATTGCAGGGGCAGCAAACAGCAGAACAGCACCAGAAGCAACTCCTCCAGCAATAGCCCCAGTGGCACTATTGCCCACTAGAATAAAAGTTGAGAATAACCAACACGTTGATTAGTTTTTGCATTCCAATTATCAAAAAAAATTTACAGTAAGTTGATTACTTTTGTATTCCAATTATCAATGAATTTTTTCTCTGGAAGCAACCCCAAATGACTATGACGCAGCAGTGATTTCAACAGTATAAAATCCTTCTCAAGTCAGAATGAAAACCAGATTGTGATTGTAAACCAGCACAACAGTCCATAATTAACCAGCACTGAAGTCGAAATTAATTCAATCAAAGTATCAAACTATGATCTCTTTCAGAACAAACTGTTCAGAATGGAGATCATATAATTTTTTAGAAATAAAAATGTTACTGATCATGCATAATAGACAAATGATAAAAGCAAAAAATCAACCAATGCTGACCAAGGACTCAGATGCAAAAGCAATTTTGTTCTATGGCTCTCTTGTTGCAGTTGCTTTTAAAAACACAGACTGGCTAAGTTCACTAAGAAATTTAAATGATAAAATGTTATAAGAACTGATGAATAAAAAGTGAGCCAAGTCATCCACGACAAACTGTATCATGCGATGCACAGCAAAACTATGGCATTAAAGAAAAAGGAGGAGCTAAAAATGCTGGAGAAACACAGTGCAACCCAGTAGTTGTTACAAGCATACTGATAATAGTAGGGGAAGAGAGAGGCAGGCTTATCAGAGACAGCCTAGTCTCTTTCAAATTCAAATCCTCAAACCAGAATCAGCAGCTGGTGCAAGCCTGGAGCTTAAGTGAAGATGTTCTCATTTGATCAAGGAAATCATGCAACAGTAACAAGGAAACTGTACAATTTAGCAGGTAGTTTACAGCATTCTTAACCACATGATTGTGATTAACAGTGCAGTTAAGGTACTCCCACAGAGCACCTCTCATATATTTGTTTTTCTCTATGTTGATTACAAGGGAATCACGTACTACGTGGAGGAGTGAATTGTATACTTCTGTGCATCAAGCTGTAACCAATTATTCACCCTAATGAAGTTCATTTACTTTCCAGAAAAATCGTAAAAGGAATTTAAACCAAAAAAAAAATGGAATTTAAACAAACCTGAAGAAGAAGATGATGGTGTTGGAGAAACTAGAGGAGGTTCCAACTGATTATTAGCAAAACTAGAAGATGGGAACTTGACAGTCAGCATAAAATCATGATGGGTCACCCAACTCTACCATGGAAAAAATATATTACTTGCAACAAACCTTATAGGAGTGAAAAGTTGAAAGGAGCCATTGACTGGAGTTGGTCCTGTCAAACGGTTGTTTGAAAACGGTTGTTTGACAGATCACTGCATTCCACACGGCAATACTGTATAATGTCATACTCTTTCCACACTATAAACCCCGAAAAAATTGACCCACAAGGAAAAAAAGCCTTTATTCGTGACAAAATAAGGCATAAACTTCCTACTTACAGAATTTGAAGTGTAGCCGCAGTAGTTAGAGACGTAGGAATGTTTCCTGACAAAGTGTTGTTCTTGAGCTGACTATTCTTGCAGAGACGGTAAATAGAACAGACACCATTAGATTGCAAAAATCAATTCAGTTTGATAGATACAATTTTCAAATAATCACAACATTCACTCATCAATAAAATTGCGAGCACAATTGATCCACAATTAACTAGTAGATGCCCATCACAAAAGGCATATACAACTAAGCATAGCTCATTGTTGCCTGCAGTTTTTCACGGCACAATTTTTCGCTATCTAGATGGCTGAATTTTTGGTGAATCGCGTCATCCACAGTGGATGCATAGGTTGTTTCCATGATGATTTTTTTATGCCCAAAAAAAGTGCCTGGTTTCACCTGGAATACAATGAATTTAAAGATGCACTAACTTTTACTCCAAATTGCTCAGTGTATAATGTCTATCTCTAGAATTTTCTAGTAAAAGGCTATAACAAAAAAGGATGCTCACACTATGTAGCCGAGCAATGTTTTACTGCTAAGAGGTGTAAGCAGCAAGGACAGTTGAAGTCATACAACTTAACGATAACTTCCTGATGCAACTTCCATCCTGGTTTTTTTATGGTGTTTGATGTTTTGTGTTGGGTCGGGGGAGGATGATAGAGATAAATACAGACAACAAAAATATGTTCATAAATAAATAAATAAATATATATATCATATAAAGAGAGATGGAGGGGGCGAGAAGAAGAGGAGAGAGAGGAAGCAATATGAGAGCGAGAGAGCTAAATAGAAAGAAAAGAGAAACCCAAAAAAGAAGAGAGAGAGAGAGAGAACTCCCTTAAAAGTTTTTTAACATACTAAAAACCACTTTACAGCTTCATAAGGCCCTAAAAACCAAATAAAAACAACCTAATTATACACCATATGGTGACAAATGATTATTCTGAAAAGACAAATGATACAATATTTTTCTGAAAACCTCTAGAACCGAAAGAAGGCAGCAATATTGTTCAAAGAGACTTCCAATACCAATGAACAAATTATCTTCTAGCCGGTCTTGCGTCAATTTGGTGCATCAGCCCCCACTAGTTGAAGAACTCTACTACAACTTTACAGTTTTTACAGCTCTAAATCCATTCACTTAAGAAGTCAACAAAATTTCTTGACATTAATAGCATCTTTACATATTCCTTAATTCATGAAATATAGATGTCCAATGGAAAAAGCAATACTCAACTCAACTCACTGTTTCACTAGTATTTTTTATCAAAGGTCATATTTTATGTTAAACTATAAGCTATCATGTCTTTTTTTTACTACCTCAATTCAATGTTAATTTCAGTCTACCTCTACCTCGCATTGTCCATAGTATGTACCAAATTACTCTTTATCACCAGTGCAATACTAGGTTTTCTATAAACATGTCCAAACAACCTAAGTCGATTCGATCTTAATTTATCTCCTATTGGTGCTACTTCTATCTTTTCACGAATACACTCATTACATCCATCTTAACATCATCATTTTTGCAACACTTAATTTTGAGTGTGTTGTTTCTTAATTGCATGACAATCTGTACCATCAAGCACTGTGGGTCTAATGATTGTTTTGTAAAACTTAGCTTTCGACCTAAGTGGTTTCCTCCAATCACAAAATTGCTCCAGATGCATTTGTCCACAATAGTCCATCTTACTTTAATTCTCTAATTAACATTGCCTTGAATCTCCCCGTTCCTTCCTATGGATAGTTAACCCCAAGTACCTAAAAAATTTGCCAATGGAAAATGTAAGACCCCAACTATCCACCTTGGACGGCATTACTATCTAAAAGATTAAAACCATTCACATCATGAGAGAAACTAATATAATCCATAAGTAAAGAAGATTTTATTCAGAATTCATAATAATTTCAACATCATCCAAAATAATATGTCAAACCATAGCAATTACATCCCCAAAAATTAAATATTAATTTGCAGCGGAATAACAAAAATATTAGACTTCACATTGTCTCAAAATGAATCTCTTAGTCTAGAACGTAAAAAGAACAATTCTAAACATCCTCCTCCGAATCCACATGTCTATCAACTTAAGCTTCCCAAATCACCTGCTCATCAACTCGGGGCTCTTCCTCTAAATCGAAATTCGAAAATAAGTATTGTTTGTAAGGACGGAGCACTAAGCTCTGTAGGAAAATCCTCCCAAACTTGGACAAAATTTTGAAAACATATAAACAAGTCGGTCTCATTTTACAAATATCATATATACCTTTTGAAAGAAAACAGTGACATTTGATCTCAAGTTTACGCAATCTCGATATATAAAATGAAGAAGTAAAACCAATTCCAACAATAACCAATAACTCACAACTTGTACCATTACCCACAATGTACATCAAGCCATAACTTGTATCTTTCACACATTATGTATATGTATCTCTACTTGTATCTCAGGTATGATACATGGCATCGCATGAATAAACACATTGAGAATATTCTGGCCCACACACACACACCCAATCCTCGCAAGGATATCCAATCTTTAGGAAGGACGTATACCAACGCATTGGCAGGGACGATCTAACCCAGGAATAGTATACTAACCCTTAGCCTCGATTTCACGGAGCGAATAGAGGTTTGGTTCTCGCAAGGCACCAACCCCACTACGAGTGCTAGGGAACCTTCAAACTCATACAGAGTAGGAAACGCAACTAATCCACTCTACGATATCCAGTCAACGGCCACCCATGGTCATCCAAACATCCATAAGAGATACAACACAACACAATTCCTCAAATCACAAGCAAAATTCAAAAATTCTTAAATTTCACATGTAATATTCCAAGAGAACAATTTAAAAAAATATGCAAGAGATCATTAAAAATACCATTTTATTGTTCACTACCAAACACTAGAGTTTTTAAATCAAAAACAAAAGAAAAATCAAGAGAAGAATTCATTCCTCTTGAAAACGAGGGTTTTATGACAAGAAAATGAGATTTCATGGCTATCTAACATGGGTTTGTTTAAAACATGGTAATATTTGCAAGAATATCAAGAATCAATGATTTCATAGCTTATATATATATATAGGATCTTGAAGCAAAATATACATAGATATAACCTTAGTCTCAATGTACAAGAGTGAAAAAAAACCCCTACCTTGCTTCTTTAGTTTTGAGTGAAGAAAATGAAGATTTGATCTTTTCTAAGTTGAATCAACCCTTAAATCTCTTGTTTTTTCCCTTCTTTCTTCCTCCCTAAGCCTCTCTCTGGTTAAGAATGTTGAAATTGGGCTGAAGAAAGTGTCTTTAAATATTTATAGGGTGAGAAATGACCTCATGTGCGTGATTCTAAAACTCAAAATCCGTAAGTCACGTTCGAATGTCACTTTGGCGTTCGAATGTCAATAGTGCAAATAATTGATTCACGTTCGAACGTTAGTTGCTCCAGTATTTTTGCATCTCCATCAGAGCTCTGCAAACATCAAAGTACTGGGACTTACTGTCGTTCGAATGTCCATTCATGTTCGAACGTCTTTCCAGTTTCTGCTGAGACTTCCAGTAAAGTTTTGACCTATTTAGAGGTCGATTTGAAAAATTTTCATGAAATACACTTTTGTAGCCCTAAAAGTCTACTATCTACTGTCAAAATTTCAAATCAAATACACATTAGAATAAAAAGTTATAATCCAAATACTAGGCAGTGTTCAATATCTTTTCTACCCAAATTTTGTCTAAAATGTGTTTTCACTCAGGAATACTTTCAAACTTCTACAACATGTCCTATTACCTCAACTAACATTTTTATTTCTACTCTTACAATCCACATAGTTCATGAATACATTATCACATATATTAGTATTTCAAAAATAATTACATTGCTATATTAAGATAAGCATGTGGGGGTTTACAATCCACCCCCTTTAAAGAAAGTTTCGTCCTCGAAACTTACCTTAAGTAGAGAACAAATGAGGGTACTTCTCTAGCATCTCCAGCTTTGGTTCCCAAGTAACTTCCTCCACCCCGTGATGTTGCCACAAGACTTTCACCAGTTGGATTACTTTATTTCGAAGCACCTTCTCCTTGGTATCAAGAATCTTCACCGGTTGTTCTTCATATGTTGTTGCATCTTGAACTTCAATATCCTCCAAATCCACAACATGCGTTGTATCCGATTGATACTTTCTTAACATTGAAACATGGAACACGTCATGCACCCCTGACAACTGGGCTGGTAACCGAAGTTGATACGTCATTTTGCCCACCGCTTTGATCATTTCAAATTGTCAGATTTACCTTGGAGCTAATTTCCCTTTTTTGCCAAAACGAAACACTCCCTTTTTGAGTGACACCTTGAGGAACACAGAGTCCCCCTCTTGGAATTCCAATGGTCTTCTTCTTCTATCCGCATAACTCTTTTGTCTATTTTGTGCCGCGCATAGTCTATCCCGGATGAGTTGAATTTTCTCCGTAGTCTCCCGAACAATTTCTGGCCCAAACAAGCTACTCTCTCCAGCTTTCAACCAACAAGTTGGGGACCTATATGATCTTCCATACAATGCCTCATAAGGTGTCATGCTGATGCTAGATTAAAAACTGTTGTTATATGCAAATTCCACCAATGACAAATGATCACTCTGACTTCCCTTGAAGTCCAACGCACAAGCACGTAAAATGTCTTCCAAAATTTGTATCACCCTCTCGGATTAGCCATCCGTTTGAGGATGAAAGG